ACGTAAGCTACCATAACTGAAGTTAACTTAAGGTGAAATAAGGCTTTCGTAGTTAAGTCATGTAAAACTAAGTCACTTAACGTAAGCTAACATAAAACGAGGGTTTAAGTAACGAGGGATAACGTTTCACAATGATAACGTGACGTAAAGTAAAGTATAGAAAGTAACGTAGCATGCCGCGCGGTAGGTTAACAAAGGGTAAAGTAAAATAAAATAAAATGAAGAAAGGTGAAGAGCTAGTGTATTCACTGATATGATGTGCTCTCTGAGTATTCTTAATCAGTTTGATTTTAGTAGTTTGCATTTACAGTAAGAATATACTTTTATGTGATGTTTTGCCGTGTAAATAAAAAAAGAAGAAAAAGGGCAGTTCAAAAGTAGGGTAACGTTTCGTGATAAAACGTAAGGTTAGGCAAAGTAAGGTGAACTAACCTACCGTGAAGTAAGATACAGTAGTAAAACAGCGCTACCTAAGGTAAAATAAGTTAACTTTGGATATAGTAACGTATAGGATTAGGTAACGTAACCAAGCGTGACGAAACTAACTTAACGAAAGATAAAGTAACGTGGGGTTACGCGAGTAATGTAAGGCAGGATCACTGAGTAATGTCACTTAGTAATGTTGACTTAAGTTAACGCAAGAAACAAAGGGCTAGATGGATAAAGAAGCACCAGTTAAAGTAAAGTGATTAAGCGTAACTTAATGTCATCAAATTAAGGTACGCAACAGAAGGAAAGGGAGGATGAGTTAGAAAAAGCACAAGATGGAAGGTAACTTTAAAAGTTGACTTAACGTAACGAAACTCAACGCACGTAACAAAACTAACGTGAGGTAAGGTCAGGTAAAGTAGCATAAAGGAGGGTAACGAATCGTAACACAACAAATCGAAACAATTCAACGAGACCTGGCGCAAAGCAACTAAAACGTAAGGTTGTAACGGTTTTTTTCCTGCAGGCGAAAGGCTTATTCCAGTAATTAAGAGTTGCTCCTGTGTGAAACGGTCTTGCTACCGAGTGGCAAAATACGAGGCGTTTGCTGAACTGTACACTGACGATCAAGGAAAAAATGCCACTAGAACTAAGGTGTGTTGCTAGTTATAGCAATACTTGACTGTTTATTACAGTGGAACAGCAGTGGTGGATCCAAGACTTTCAGATAAGGGGAGGGGGGGCGGTCATCCAGACCCTGAGATAAGTGGGGAGGAGCGGTGACAAAAAATTTTTTCAGCCCTTTGGGCCTCAGTTTGGTCTAGAAATAAATGGGCGGAGGCCAGGCCCCCCGGGCCCCCCTGCCGCTGCCCTGGATCCGCTACTGAACAGTCTGTTTGGGGGACACCCCCGAGACCGAGACAAGTGTGCCCTGGATGGAGGTTGGGCTGGGGTTTGTTAAAAATTAACAAACAGTCCAGTTTGTGGAAAGCTGACATCATTGTGACTAGCTTACATGTTATCTAGCCTCTTTGTGGCCAGTCATATTTTGCGTGTTCCCTGATTGAATGGAAGTTAAACTTGAGTTTCAGACCCAGAAAAAGTGCCCTTTTTCCCGAATAGAGTTGTCCCTTCAATAGAGGTAACAGTTACAAATATTATGTGAACTTTTTTCCGGGACCAAATTTAGTGTCCCCTGAATGGAGGTGTCCCTTGAAGAGAGGTGTCCCAAAGGTTCAAAAAATGCATAAAACTGAATGAGGCGAATAATCGGTGTTTATAATAACAATTTTTCTCGGTTGTTCAGTTTCGATCTTTTAACGCGCAGCTCGGTNTGGATGGAGGTTGGGCTGGGGTTTGTTAAAAATTAACAAACAGTCCAGTTTGTGGAAAGCTGACATCATTGTGACTAGCTTACATGTTATCTAGCCTCTTTGTGGCCAGTCATATTTTGCGTGTTCCCTGATTGAATGGAAGTTAAACTTGAGTTTCAGACCCAGAAAAAGTGCCCTTTTTCCCGAATAGAGTTGTCCCTTCAATAGAGGTAACAGTTACAAATATTATGTGAACTTTTTTCCGGGACCAAATTTAGTGTCCCCTGAATGGAGGTGTCCCTTGAAGAGAGGTGTCCCAAAGGTTCAAAAAATGCATAAAACTGAATGAGGCGAATAATCGGTGTTTATAATAACAATTTTTCTCGGTTGTTCAGTTTCGATCTTTTAACGCGCAGCTCGGTAAAAAAACGAGGGCAAAATGGGCGAAAAAGAGACAAATAGACAAACAAACGACTTTGGGTAAGCGATATTTGTTGAAGAAATGGTCTTCGTGATTTTGTCAAGAAATCGCATATTTTTCCCTTTACAAATCCGTATATTTTCGCTATTAGGCCATTTTATCGCGACACTCAAATTACATGATATTAAAATGTTTAATAGACTCATACAGATTGGGTTACTTGTTTCCCAATGCCTATCGCCAACCTTCGTCCGACGAGAGCACGAGATTTAACGAGTTTTCGTCTCGTCTCGTCGGACAAAGGCTGACAATACTCGTAAGATGGAAGAGACTAAACTATTACTAACCTCATTTCAGTTGGTTGACATGGGTCATTGTGAAAGTGAGAGCATGTGTCCATTTTCGTAAGTACAAATTCATTTCTTCCCGTGCTCTAAATAGGTGGTATAGCCTGCAAACATGCCCTACCCATATCTCTATTATGTCTTTCGGGGCGATGGTTTTTACGGTAGGCTGCGAGAAGTCTCTTATTTTTCTTTCCAAAGTTACTGCACGCAAAACCTAAGCACTCGAGCGGCGAAGCAGCTTGCAGCGAGAAACGTGGGCGTGAGCGCGAGAAGAAAAACTAAGAGACCGTCTTTTCTCGTCTTGTCTCGATACCTATATGATAACTTCGAGGTTTGCAATCGCGCTGGATGAGATCAAGAACTAGGCGGATTTTAAGAGAAAAGGCGGACTGCAAGCAGTCTATTTTTACGGTTGACGGTTACCATTTTGAGAGCGTCTAGCCTGCGAGCGAGCTGTCCTGATGTTGAATACACCATTTTTACATAGACCATAATGCACCTTGTTTACCCCCCATAACTTTGCATAACCATTGCCTTCGATTTCTCTTGAGACGACTGAATTATCCAGGAAAAATGGTGACTGGCCGATGAAGTAAGCCGCGAGAACACGCGAGAGTGTTTCTTTTAGCGTACCACTCGCGCGTTACTTCTCGCGACATCTTCCCAACTGAGTACTTGCTCGCGGCTTCACGGCTTCTTTCCGTGGTTAAAAGAATTCTTTACAGGTCAAAAATTAACTTTCGTTTCTTTAGAGCAAATTTATGGTCCTAAGTCGCTTTTAATAGGACCATGGGGTGTAGCCACTTCCAGAGGTTTCAGAACGACATCTTACTAAGTAATTCTCATGTCATGTGCCGTTTCGCCAATTTATACTTTGCCGCATTCGGAAAAATAGGAAAGAAGCGAAGTTTTGTTGCAGACGGTGCTCTGTTCAAGCGCAGTTTTGCCTCTGTCTTCAGGCTACGGTGGTGACCCCGTGTTAATTTTCTACAGAAGTTAAAAAACAGAACATGAATGCCGATCGCCTGACTAACAGAGAGCTGACTAATTACGATATTTTTTCTCAAAGAATGCTTATTATTTGTATGGTTTATTTTCTCCTGTAGGAAAAGAGGTCTGCCTACATCGTGCGGATTCCAGCTCAAGTATATTTCTATTCTTTCAGCTGCAGGAAGCTACACCACTGTTGCTCCTGTAAAGCGTTGCACTTGCGGAGATTAAAGCGAGTTTTCCAGTTGAGTTATAGAATAGTTTCTACTAAAGAGGCATTGTCGTACGGGAATTAAACAGTAGGAAAAAATAAAGTATCTGAAACTCTAGACTACATGTGTAGCAGCTGCTAATTTTTTTAAAAAGCGACAACACAGGCTAATGTTATAGGAGACATCAGGTTTTATAAACGTTATTGTTTTGTTATTCAAATTTGTAACAATTGAGACAAAGGAATCTTTTGTTTAAGGAAACCAATTCGCTACTGGTTGGCGCATTAACAATAGGTGACGTCGCGATTTTATTTTGAGCATTTTATGAAAACACTGCCTAGCAAAAAAAGGGACCTTCCTTACATGTGCAATTGTAGAATAATTCATGTGTGATTTAGTATCATTTTAAATAAAATCGCTTCTTTTTGTTGTTAGTTGTTGTTAAGTTTTTCCGGCCGGCTTTATTTAAACGCAAAAAGCCCACACAAATCCGCCAAACAGTGCACGTGCTGTTATTGACCCCCAAGATGTCACATGAGATTTAAAATAGAATTGTTTCCCGCTAATCTCGCTGCAGGTGACTGTGTAACTAACGTTATGAGAGTTGTGACGGCGTCAGAGGGTAACCTCGCGCCGGAGCCGAGTTGCAATCAGAGGCGCGGAGTGTTTCGATCTGGGTGAAATCAAATCAAATTTTGCTCTTCTCCTTGTGATCCAGTCACCAACAGTCTAGCAGAAAATACTGTCAAAGTCAAAAGCAGGAGCTATTAACACCTAAATAGTCCTCATCTCTTTCAGCTTACGGCTTAAGTTCATCACTCTAGAAAGGAAAAGGGGACTTTTAACCCAAATGTGTCCCGCAATGGTTTCTGGGATTGTTACTGGGGAAACACTGATCCGCTATTGGCCAGCTTTTCCCCTGTCGCCAGTAATAGAAGCTGTCCCAGAAGTCTTTGCAAACATTATCTCGACCTAGTTTCCTTGTCGAGCCAAAAGTGGTGAAATGCAATTTCTTCTTTTTTTAAAGTGGTTAACATGCTAAGAACACGTCTGCGTCAGGAGGCCAGTCCACCAAAATGTCTGCACAACTGATGAGCTAGACACCTAAATTTGATGGATTTTTACTCTTTGATGTGAAAAAATAGAATACATTTAAAAAGAGCAGACTCTTGGCGAACCATGCCTAAATTCGCGTGCGCGTGAACTCGCAAACTCGCGCGAGACACAAGACCCTCCTTACCCCCTCCCCGCTGGTCCTTGGCTAGAAACAAGGCATCCTGGGATAGCAGTTTTATGAAAGGAAAATGGCGGCAAGTGGTACGGTGGATGTGTCCGAAAGCGGGTGAGTTTTATTCTTTTTTAAGAAGAGATTGCTTGTTTATAGTTCTTATACCATTTTATAACCAAAGGAAATCGCTTTTTGTTTCGCTAGAAGAAGAATTCGATTCCATTAGAGTGCAAATAATAGGCTAGAATAGCGAATGTACAGATATGTACTTTCGACTACGGCTCGATTTTGAAGTTTTCATTCTTTCGTTCTTGAAGCTTAACTATCAGTTGTAATCGGTTTTTACATGATTAAGCAAAGATGTAAGGATACTGTGCGGAATTGATAACATGTTTATGCTATGCACAGCAGTTATAATCATTTTTTCACCTGTAAATAATGTCATATCCACTGCACCTCATAGAATTAAGCTGCTCTTTCTGTAATTCACTTGAAGTTGGGGATGAAACGCATGTTATCTTTTTCTGCACCCTTTATAATGATACTCGTCTAGATCTTTATAAGAGAATAAATACAAAATATCTCTTCTTCACGGAATTCAACCTTGACTCAAAAATAGTGTATTTCCTTTTCAATAGTATTGATCCTTTCGTATGCAGACTCATTCTGCTTATATTTTTCAAATGATGGAAACAAGACGTGAAACTTCTTTTAAAACAAAATCATGTACACGTGTAGCCACCCTGTAGTTAATTGTTCACATTAGTTAAGTACCAAATGTCACAGCAATGAAAAAACCTTTCAGCTATTTCTGAGTCAAATATGGGAGATTTCCAGCCTGTCATGAGCGGGATTAAATTCGTATGTGTAATCAAATGGTGACGAGTGAAATTAGGGAATAATTTCATGCGCGTTTTGTCCAAATCCTTATAATTTCCTGAGCCTTCTGATTTCCGACAACTTTCCATAGACTTCTGAACATTGCCGAAAATGTCCGCAGATGTTCTGAAGATGTTAGAGCTCTTTCGAAGCTACTTGAAAGATGCTTTGATTTCGTAAGAGCACAAAAAGGGAAACAAAGTCATCATTTAACGCCTTTTAGGATTGAATTTTCATTATTTATCATGTGTTAAATAACAATTTGTCCAGATTTGTGTCCAGATTTGTGAATTGTCCTTGATGCATGAGATCGATGTCTTTAGTCCACAGGCGCGAGACTTACGCATAATGTGTGACAGTTGGCAGGTATACACTCAGTACATACACAGTATTTTTAAATAATTTACACAATTTCAACAAGCACTAATTTGACCTTCATGGTCACAATAACTACTTTATTTTTTTCAAACTCTTTGTTACAAAAATAAATTCATACACAACCTGCAAGTAGCAAAGGCTGTTCGAGGTGGGTTTTGTAAAAAATAATTAAGTAGATTTGTAAAATAAAATGGAAAGAAAAAAAAAGTTTTTCAGGGAAAACAAAAATTACCGTCCTAGAGTACTGTTGCGTGGTTTGGCATAATGCCCTTCCTGCCTACCTGTCTAATGAAATAGAGCGGGTCCAAATGGGAGCTTTAAGGATAATATACCCTTGATCCTCATACCAGCAAGCCTTACAACGTGCTAAAATCGCTAGACTTGAAGACAGGCGCAATGAACTCTGTATGAGGGCTTTTGATAAAATTACCAAAGGAGGACCCTTGTCAAAACATCTAACCCAGATAACATCTATTGCCCATGAGTACTCCCTTAGAAATTCTAACTCTTTGACGTCTTTTAAATGTAAAACCGAGCATTTTAGGCGAAGCTTTTTCCCTAGTACTGTCCTAATGGCAAACGCAACATCCTTCAAAAATTAACTGTTAAAGAATTCAATTTTAAAAATGAAATTCTTAGTATAACTTTTTTTTAGTAGCTATGATTGAAATTTATGTAACTCTTGTAGGTTTTACTATTTTTAATTATTTTGTAAAACCAGTCCCAATTAGGTTTTTGTAATTTTCCGAACCTTGTAAACACATTGTAATTCAAAAGGTCTAGATAGCAGCAACAATATAGATAGTCGTATAAACATAACAACTTTCTTTAATTTACCAGACATGTTTCGACGGTACATCCGTCATCTTCGGTGTTACATATTTTGAAATTGCCGTTGAATTTAAAGCGCGCGCGATCTTACAAAGTTCGTTACATTGCGTTGTCAATATTGCGTACTTCATTTTTAATGCGAGAACATGTCGATTAAACATCTTTATTATTATTATTATTAAGTAAGACAATAGAGCACAATTTATTACACAGGAAAATGGGTAAATTAAGATCACATGCTTTACAAGCCAGGGTCCGAAATTGCGCCTTCCTGGTCGCCGATGCAACTAAAAATTTAGTCCTGGCGACCAGAATTTCATAGCTGGTCGCCAGCTAGCAACTTGTAAAGCTGGTTGTTATTGTTGACTTTAACGTTCGGAGAAACTGATTAAGAATTGAAACCTCGAAGCTATTTGCCAACAGGTGTCTTACTTTTTGTCCTGCTGATATTTTTTAATTAAAAGTGAAACGAATCTTCCTGTAATAATACCTCCACAACAGCTATGATCAAGACAAGTTGAACGTTTCCAAGCCGCCATGTTGTTCAGTAAGTACGTTATGTACTTTGTGTACTGGTACGAGTGATGTGGCACAGTTGTGGCCTAGTACGAGCAACATGGCAGCTTGACTAGTGTTTATGTTTCGTGTTTTGTGGTAGTTACTGGAAAAAATAGAGTTTTGATATGATCAGTGCAGTCATAGGCAGACAGCTTTCTGTTCCTACATTCTTAGTCAGACAGCTTTATATCTCCAAAAAGTAATTTGCAGGAAAAAAAAGACTTCTCTCGTGCATGTACGGTTGCTTTCTGATATCAGGAGTGGAAGAAGTGCAATTTTTGAGCATAAAAATGTCCATACCATGCATTTTTTATTTGTGTTTAAACAATTATTGGAAAAAAAAGGGAGGGGGAATTTTTGGCGACCACAATTTGCCCTCTGGCGACCAAAAATTTACACTTGATTGCCAGTTGGCGCCCGTATTAAAAAGTTAATTTCGGACCCTGCAAGCATATTAAGATATAGATTTAGCCAGAGCTAAAAGCGAAGCCCTGGTTAATATACTTATAAACAAAAAAATAAATCATGCAGGGTACAACGAAAGTCAGTTTTACAGCCTGCCATTTGGGCAAGCTGGAGCTAGCATGTACTAGCCCACAAGTCATTTCAACTAGCCCCAAAACCAAAGGATTAGCAGGATTGAGTACACTCCTTCTGTGATTTGAATTTCCCCCAAAAACAGCACTTGCCCGTCAGGCAAGTTAAGAACAAAAATCACTAGCCCGATAGCAAAATCCACTAGCCCCGGGCTATCGGACACAACCTTCTTTGCACGCTGAACTATGTACTACTAAAAGGCAACAGAAATGAGAACGGCGACAAAGTCAATAGATCTAATTAGCAAAAAAACAATTTTGCACATGCAGCACACTTTTTAGTACATTTCTTTGTCGTTGTTTTGCACGACTAAAGCGTGAAACTTCCTAGTTACACATATTTATTTCATGAAGGAATTGTTGTATGTGCTCAGCAAAAATTTTGTTGCTAGTGTTCCTGTGCACTTTTATTTTTTTCACTGCCGCTCATTTTCACCTTGCTGGCATTCCTCATTTTCTCACCGCCACTTTGAAATTATTTTTCACCAACAAAAGTTTTCTCCTTTGTTTTCAATCACTTGCTCTAGCTCTTTATTTGTTATCCATGTTAGTGTAGACATAAAAATAACAACAAAAAAGACTCAACTTTGTTGTTGTTTTTTCTCTTTAAAAGTCCGGGTGGCCATGTGATTTCTTGCCCAAAAAAACCCTTGAGTTTGATTTGGGTTGCTATACCTGTTAATTGAGTTAATAATTTTACATGAGTGTGCCTGTGTTGTGGAAGTTCGGGTGGGGAAATTATGGTCACATAACTAGGTAACCAAATTTTCATACCCAAGCACATGCGAGAGCTACGCTATGATACTAAAAGAAGTTCAGTTGTTGTAAAATGGTGAGCAGTTCAATATCTTTGTCTTGGTCCTTTAGCATCTGTGTGAGAATCTCATGCAATCATTTTTTTGAAATTGCCGAATTTAAGCTGTTTTAAGTGTGTTGGTATTGTAATTCCATGCTTTGGTTCCAAAGTTTGAGAATGGCACGGTGATATTGATCATGTCTGCTAACACAAATGAAGAGTGCGGCAAATGTTAGAAAAAAAAACAGATTTTAAAGAAGTTAGAGTAGATTATGTGGCAAGAAGGCTGATTTCGCTCAACCTCAGTGAATCTGGTGGCAAATGATACAGTTTCTCTTAAGTAGAATAAACCTTCCGCTGTCAAGTGACAATAATTCCTTGCGAAGCAATGCTAAAGGGCTCATGGAGAGGGTTTATAAATTTGTTGAAATTTACCTCATGCGGGGATTGTGTCTGGATTGCTGAGCAAGAAGTGAACAACTTTTTTGCTATACTTTTATCTGTTTGCTCATTGTCTACCATTCCCATTGTTCAGCAAAAAAATCTGTGGCAAAGCAAACTTAGCCAGGTAGCTATTGCAGCTATTAATTTTAAGTGGTTAAAAATGCTTTTGGCGATGAATTTAACACTAGAAGTATTTTAAAGAAAAAATGGAGGCAATTTGGACCTCAAGAGAAAATTTGTTTTGCGTCCTTCTTGCTTTGTAGTTGATTTTTATGGGCTTTATCAGGTGTAGTGTATGTTTTCCAAATGCACTGAGTGCGTTCTGTTCAGCTTTGTATCATCATGACCCTGCTTGTTTTTTGAAACACCGTAAAATTCTGAAAATAAGCCCCTCCAAAATAAGCCCCCCAAACTCGTAACACAAAAAAACCTGTGATAAATCGCCTCTCCAAACACAAGCCCCAGGGGGCTTGTACTTGGAGATTGCCCTCAAATTCAAAATAAAACAAAGCAAAATTTGTACAGTAACACATAAATTTTTGCATTTGCCAAAGATCTTTTACATAAATTTTCTTCCTACTACAAGCTAGCCCAATGGATTTTGAGATGCATTATTTCCCTCCCAGTATATTTCTAGCTTATTTGGAAATGCAAATTTCCCTCCGTATATAAGCCCCCCCTAAAATAAGCCCCTCAAAAAGGGGATTTTAAAGACATGTGCCCCAGGGCTTATTCTTTGAATTTTACAGCACATCTTTGAATTTTGCTCATGAGGCTTAATGATTATGAATTTTCTTGGCAAGTAAGGAGCCCCAGGTTTGAATCCTGGAGAAACTGTTTTTGTTTTGTATGTTGTTTTCTTTTTCTTTCCTCGTTTGGCTTCTTTTCCTTTTACCTGCTACTGACCCTTGGACTTTGAGAGGTTCTGTGATACTCATACATGTATTTGTATTCAGTTATTTCACTGAAAGATTGTACATTGTGAGTAAAAGGGTAAATTGTTTCCATTTATTGTTTTCAGAGGTGAAGTGATCCTTGATCTACAGAAGTTCCAAATTCAACCCATGGATACTCTGAACACTGAACACTTGCAGTTACTGATACTGACAGCTAATCCCACTACCAGTGGTGAAACCATAGGAAGGACTTCTTCTGACTCATTTCCTGAGTCTTCCCAAGCTGAAGCCGCTTCGCTGGTTACTGAAACAGCAGTGATTGCGGAAGAAGCAGGGTTGTTTGTGCAGGTTGAAAGTACAACTCCTACTTTACAGGTTGAAAGTACAACTACTACTTTGTCGGCAAGCAGCCATGACGTTGCTCCGTCCAAAGATGCAGTGGATGTTGGGGAAAAGGACTTTATTTGCACGCAGTGTAATAAGTCCTTTGCGGGTCCGTCAAGTTTAAGCCGACACATAAAAACACACAGCAATGAGAAGCCATTCAAATGTGTCCCATGCAACAAAGTCTTTTCCAGGTTGTCGAGTTTGAAGAGGCATCAAGGCTCCCATGCAGAGGAAAGACCATTCAAATGTACCGTTTGTGGCTGGACTCACTTTTATTTTTTTCACTGCCGCTCATTTTCACCTTGCTGGCATTCCTCATTTTCTCACCGCCACTTTGAAATTATTTTTCACCAACAAAAGTTTTCTCCTTTGTTTTCAATCACTTGCTCTAGCTCTTTATTTGTTATCCATGTTAGTGTAGACATAAAAATAACAACAAAAAAGACTCAACTTTGTTGTTGTTTTTTCTCTTTAAAAGTCCGGGTGGCCATGTGATTTCTTGCCCAAAAAAACCCTTGAGTTTGATTTGGGTTGCTATACCTGTTAATTGAGTTAATAATTTTACATGAGTGTGCCTGTGTTGTGGAAGTTCGGGTGGGGAAATTATGGTCACATAACTAGGTAACCAAATTTTCATACCCAAGCACATGCGAGAGCTCCGCTATGATACTAAAAGAAGTTCAGTTGTTGTAAAATGGTGAGCAGTTCAATATATTTGTCTTGGTCCTTTAGCATCTGTGTGAGAATCTCATGCAATCATTTTTTTGAAATTGCCGAATTTAAGCTGTTTTAAGTGTGTTGGTATTGTCATTCCACGCTTTGGTTCCAAAGGTTGAGAATGGCACGGTGATATTGATCATGTCTGCTAATACAAATGAAGAGTGCGGCAAATGTTAGGAAGAAAAAAACAGATTTTAAAGAAGTTAGAGTAAATTATGTGGCAAGAAGGCTGATTTCGCTCAACCTCAGTGAATCTGGTGGCAAATGATACAGTTTCTCTTAAGTAGAATAAACCTTCCGCTGTCAAGTGACAATAATTCCTTGCGAAGCAATGCTAAAGGGCTCATGGAGAGGGTTTATAAATTTGTTGAAATTTACCTCATGCGGGGATTGTGTCTGGATTGCTGAGCAAGAAGTGAACAACTTTTTTGCTATACTTTTATCTGTTTGCTCATTGTCTACCATTCCCATTGTTCAGCAAAAAAATCTGTGGCAAAGCAAACTTAGCCAGGTAGCTATTGCAGCTATTAATTTTAAGTGGTTAAAAATGCTTTTGGCGATGAATTTAACACTAGAAGTATTTTAAAGAAAAAATGGAGGCAATTTGGACCTCACGAGAAAATTTGTTTTGCGTCCTTCTTGCTTTGTAGTTGATTTTTATGGGCTTTATCGGGTGTAGTGTATGTTTTCCAAATGCACTGAGTGCGTTTTGTTCAGCTTTGTATCATCATGACCCTGCTTGTTTTTTGAAACACCGCAAAATTCTGAAAATAAGCCCCTCCAAAATAAGCCCCCCAAACTCGTAACACAAAAAACCCTGTGATAAATCGCCTCTCCAAACACAAGCCCCCGGGGGCTTGTACTTGGAGATTGCCCTCAAATTCAAAATAAAACAAAGCAAAATTTGTACAGTAACACATAAATTTTTGCATTTGCCAAAGATCTTTTACATAAATTTTCTTCCTACTACAAGCTAGCCCAATGGATTTTGAGATGCATTATTTCCCTCCCAGTATATTTCTAGCTTATTTGGAAATGCAAATTTCCCTCCGTATATAAGCCCCCCCTAAAATAAGCCCCTCAAAAAGGGGATTTTAAAGACATGTGCCCCAGGGCTTATTCTTTGAATTTTACAGCACATCTTTGAATTTTGCTCATGAGGCTTAATGATTATGAATTTTCTTGGCAAGTAAGGAGCCCCAGGTTTGAATCCTGGAGAAACTGTTTTTGTTTTGTATGTTGTTTTCTTTTTCTTTCCTCGTTTGGCTTCTTTTCCTTTTACCTGCTACTGACCCTTGGACTTTGAGAGGTTCTGTGATACTCATACATGTATTTGTATTCAGTTATTTCACTGAAAGATTGTACGTTGTGAGTAAAAGGGTAAATTGTTTCCATTTATTGTTTTCAGAGGTGAAGTGATCCTTGACCTACAGAAGTTCCAAATTCAACCCATGGATACTCTGAACACTGAACACTTGCAGTTACTGATACTGACAGCTAATCCCACTACCAGTGGTGAAACCATAGGAAGGACTTCTTCTGACTCATTTCCTGAGTCTTCCCAAGCTGAAGCCGCTTCGCTGGTTACTGAAACAGCAGTGATTGCGGAAGAAGCAGGGTTGTTTGTGCAGGTTGAAAGTACAACTCCTACTTTACAGGTTGAAAGTACAACTACTACTTTGTCGGCAAGCAGCCATGACGTTGCTCCGTCCAAAGATGCAGTGGATGTTGGGGAAAAGGACTTTATTTGCACGCAGTGTAATAAGTCCTTTGCGGGTCCGTCAAGTTTAAGCCGACACATAAAAACACACAGCAATGAGAAGCCATTCAAATGTGTCCCATGCAACAAAGTCTTTTCCAGGTTGTCGAGTTTGAAGAGGCATCAAGGCTCCCATGCAGAGGAAAGACCATTCAAATGTACCGTTTGTGGCTGGACCTTTCTGCAGAACTCAGATCTGAAAATCCATGAAAGAACACACACTGGGGAGAAGCCATTCTCGTGTGACCGATGTGAGCAGTCGTTTGGATGCAAAAAGCGTCTTAAGGCGCACTACCGAAAACACACGGGGGAAAAGCCCTACAAGTGTCCCCAGTGTGGGAAGTGTTTCTCCATGAGAAAAAATGTCATCCAACACATCCGAATTCATACTGGTGAGAGGCCATTCACTTGTGAAGTATGCAAGAAGGATTATCGTCATCAGCACACACTCAAGAAGCATATGCAGCTTCATACTGTCAGATTCCCCTCCGCATCAGCTAGGTTAGTGGTTCAGTGCCAAAACCTCTGTTCGATTGTCCGGGACGGGTAGAAATTTAGTTTGGACGTGTAAACCTTTAACATGACTTGTCCATGGGATAAGTGCATTTATAATTACAAAAAATACAGAAACATTTCAAATTTGACTTCAAATTGTTAGTACAGTAGAATTAAAAATTTTACCTTAGTCATAAAAGGAATCCTCATGCAAAATGACAAAAATAAGGGTAAATATTCCTTTTAACTTTGCCATACTGGGGCCAGTTCATTTGTTTGTATGACCTCCACTTGGCTTAGGAACCTGACAAAACCTTTTGGACAAGAACTCTTGGATTTTGGACAACCAAATTAAATATAGTGGTTATCCGAGGGACAAGTGGATAAGAAAATTTTTCTCTTACTCTTTGGTTATGTGATGATAATTGGTTGTATGAACAGGAAATGAGATGTTGACTAGTCAAAAATTGAAATGTTACAAATATTATGTTCAAGGAGTTTTGTGCCTGTACAAGTGGAATAATGATATACTATGCTACTCTGTGAGCAGCATGTAAAGAAAGCAGTTTTGGGTCCGGTTGATTTTGCTATGTAAATTCCGTTCTTAACTTGCCCAATAAACAAGTGAAGTTTTTTTCTGAAATTCAAATTATATGAGAACTGTACATGTAATCAATGCTCATCAACATATTTTTTTCAAGCTAGTTTAAATGACTATTGGGCTAGTACATGCAAGTTACAGATTGCCTGAATGGCAAGCTTTTAAACTGACTTTCTTTGATCTGACATGTTGTGAGCCAGATCCACTGTATGAACCACGAAACTGCAAAACAATGATTAGAAAACAATTTGCCATTTTCTATACTATTATATCGTAGAAATATGGCATGAATGTTCAAAACTCAAGTGGAGCCAGAATGGCCCGGCAGGTGGTATCACTGCAAAGTGTCAAATGTTTTGATGTCATTTCTTTTTTTCCATGAAGTATAGACAATGCCGGGAAAATAATTCATTATTGTTTGGTTGCATTGACAATCACATTAAATGTGCATCTTGAATCAGCACCCACTCTCAAGGTCCAAAAATTTGATGAGTGCCCAGCATGCCAAATTGAATGAATATGTTATCCTACCGATGAATAGTTGTAATTTTATCTAGTCTTTTATTTTTATTATTTTTTTGTTCTTAGTGATGGAGATGGTAATGACCAAGCAGCAGTCTGGCCTCGTAAAAGAAAGAAACCTAACACAACAAAGGCTACAACTACAAGCAGGTAGATACCTGTCTGACTTTTGTACCAACAATCTCCATTGTAAACATGTAAAAACTAACAAAATAATGTTGAGCCATTATTGAGGACTTGTAATAAATGCGAGATGAAAAGAGTTTTCAATTATTACTTTCACTTAAACTCTTTTCTAACCAACAATTATTGATTTCCAATTTCTTGATATTTGCATCATGAGGTTGCTAAAATGTCGGGACATTATCTTGTTAGTTTTTATATGAGTGTGTTTCTCCAAATCATTATTAATAGGAATTTCTAATGCGCCCCTTGTAAATTAATTATGCCAAAAATACTGTTTGAAGATACATGTATTTGATCCAAAATCTGGGTTGCTGTGTGGCCAAAAGGAATCAAAACTAGCCAAAATTTTGTGTACAAGTGTACAAGTCCAGCACTATTCTGGCACAAGGGGAAATTCATTAGAGCATTAGGACCTATTAAATGAAGTCCAATAATGATACATTGCAAGTATTGTTTTTTTTTAAGTGGCTATGAATTATTTAAAGTGATTTTGTTTAAGTTAATGCTTTGGACTTTTCATTGTAATAGGAAGAAAGCAGGTAAAACGCCTGGAAGCAAAAGTGGTAAGCAACAGAAAGACAGCAAAGAGAGTAATTCAGAAACCTCCAACAGGTGCGTAGTTTGAAATACATACATGTATGCATGTACATGTAGGCATCATACCAGGCTTAATACTAGTTGTGCAGTTCTTTTAAGTGGTATATCATGAAATATTCCATGAGTGACTTGTTTTTTCTGAGTATACACATGAGCCTTTAGGTCCTTTACGCATGTGTGTATCTGTTGTGGTTCAATTTTATCCTTGGTTTAAATTCTATTTCCCTTTGTTTTGGGGTATGGTAATGCATGGTAATCAGTTGAAAACAAAGGGAAATAAAAATTACACCAAGGATAAAACAAACCAATTTCGTTATATTAAAATTCATACTTGCTCTGAGACTGAGGGGGGTAAAACAAAAGAAAATGTATTATTCATTACTGAGCCTCAAGGTGATTTCTTTTGTTTCATTCCCCAAGCGTCACAGCCAAGTTCGAATTTTAATATATCGGAATTGGTCTATTGAACCACAACATAATTATACAAAGAAAGTTCAAGTCTTGGGTGCTTTCTGTAGAGTTTGGCATTTCATACCAGTTAGTACGCAACTCTTAAAAACCTCCAATTTTATTGGTTCTCCATAATACACTTTTGCATTGTTTTAGGGATAGAGTCATTGTTATATTTGTTTGTCTATTGTTTTCACAGCCAATACTGTGAGGCCTTGTTAAGTGCTGCGTGGCTCCCCTTTCATACATGTACATGGTCTTTCATGCAATATATCAAGCATGAGACGCAGTGTTTCATTACCAGATGAAACACTGAGAAGAGAGTTGAAAATAAGACGTGTCGCCAAGTATTTTTGATGAACTTCAAGGTGTTTCATCTGGTGATGAAACACTGTGTCAAATGCTTGGTATTACTTCTCAAACAAAATGATTTTAGAAGGAGAAATTAAGGATGGAAAAGGGAGCAGTTTTCATCTGATTTCCAAACACTCATTAAACATTAATTTCCTTTGTATTTTCCTTAGAGTTATTAATGAGTTTTAGAAGTAATGTTTTTCATGTCCATTGTTAACATCCTTGAATAAAGTATTGTAAGTTATTGACGTGGTTGATACAGAAAGCACTTCCATTTGCCACGTTCTAAACGAGTGAAAAGTGGGTACAATATGCGACCCCAAAGCTTCTTGGAGTGGTTAAGAGGGACAGCATAAGGGTTAACAAACATGGCGCATCACAAGTGCCGTGTTCCTAGCTGCAAAAAAAACATATTTATTTGATTAACCGCCCTGGGCACTTAATAAATTTTTCGACCTTGAAAGTGAGCGCTTATTCGAGGCTGGGCACTTATTACATTTTCACCATTTCAGCAAGTGTAGTATGTTTTTTTTTGCAACAAAGCAATAAATGGTAGAAACAAAACACGAAGATGTAACAAAGCAAGGTTTCTGTAAAATACTCAGCAGAAAACTTCGTCTTCGGAGAGTCTCTTATTAGTACTTATTCAATTCTTTTGGGGGGAGGTTGAAGGGAAAAGGGGGTGGGGTGGGAGGGGGCACTTATTTGATTTTGAGTGAGAGGGGCAGGGGGTGGGGTGGGGGTGGGCACTTGTTCGAGGCTGGTCAGAATTCCTATAAACCCTAATGCACCAGGTATTTCTTCTTCAGTCAGAATAACCTGGACAACGTCTTTAACATTCTCTTGCTGATGTCTGCCACGCTTTTGCTGTCTCTCCAAACAATCCCTGGAGCCTTTGTGGTCATAAGTCATACCAGTTCACTGCTGGTTTAGAATATGGACAGTTATTGTTCTACAGAGGCCCAGTTGCACTCACAGATTTTCTGTGTTTTTTTTCCTTTTTTTTGTAGCAAAACAGCAGAGACTGATGAATCAGTTGACACAGCTGAGAAAAAAGAAGAAACTAAGACAGCAGGAACAAACACAGGAGATGTTTCCAGGTGAATGTTTTTTAAAGGAACAGTGCTCATAAAACCATCTCATGCATTGTGCTTAATTATACGAAATGTGTTCATGTTTAAATACCAGGCAAGCTTCCACGCGTAATTAATGATAATTATCTTAACATGTGAAAAGATCACCGTCGCTATGGTACATGATAAGTCGCGCCTTCAGAAGCAAAAAGCATATTTAAGTTAAATGGTTTCCGTTTGGTATTTCATTCATGTTAACTTAATAAATAGCATATTACATGGCCACTTGGGGATTCGTAATTTCTCTTCTCATGTTTTTCAACACTCAAACTTCCGTATCTGTGGGGGCTATGTAATGTCCTGTATATCCCTGTTTTTGAATGGTGAGATTGTCATGTCTTCTAGGTACATGTAAGTCCTTTGGCTAGAATGGCTCTGCTGCCCTTAATGAATACTATGTTAATCGTTTCAGTAATGGTCAAAGTGACACTTTGGCTACCGTAAACGAAGACCATTTATTGCTGTTGACCTTAGCAAGCAACCCGGAGAGAAGTCACAGCGGTGAAACAGAAACACTTCCTGATAAAAGTACCCAGTCTACACCAGACGCTCCACCCACCACAGCAGTGACTGTGGTAGGTCTTACACCAGGTGCAGCTCCTTTGGGTGATGGTCAAGATTCATCGGAAGGGAATGCTGCGGCTGAGAATCCTTTCAAATGTCCTCATTGCGACAAATGTTTCTCAGGGCCATCAGGTCTAAACCGCCACGTCAAAATCCACGACCAGGATAAGCCGTTTAAGTGTGTACCATGCGATAAAGTGTTCTCCAGGCTGTCGAGTTTGAAGAGGCACCAAGGCTCTCACGCAGAGGAAAGACCGTTCAAGTGTACAGTCTGTGGCAGTAGCTTTCTGCAGAACTCGGATCTGAAGATTCATGAAAGAACACACACCGGGGAAAAACCATTTCCGTGTGATCGCTGTGAACAAACGTTTGGAAGCAAAAAGCGACTAAAGGCCCATTACAGAAAGCACACAGGCGAGAAGCCGTACAAATGTCCGCAGTGCGAGAAAAGTTTTTCCATGAGGAAGAATGTTATTCAGCATATCCGGACCCATACCGGCGAGAAGCCATTCACGTGCTGGGTGTGCAAGAAGAAATATCGCCATCAACACTCGCTTAAAAAGCACATCCGTCTCCATGCGGACAAGAGCAAAAACCTGGATGAGTGCATCAGCAAGATCAAGGGAAACCAGTCGAAGTCTGGTGAAATTGCTGGCGAAATGGAAGTTGAGGAACAGAGCACGCAAACAGATATGGACGTAGTGGAGGTGGAGAAGAATGAACAGGGACACGAAGAAGTTGTCGCAGTGGAATTGGATAATGGGACTGAGAGAGTGGAAGTGGCAATTGGAGAAGTGGAGAAACAGGCCGATCCAACGAAGGAGAAAGAAACTGTGAACGAAGTCAAAGAGCGAGAGGCCGCTGAGAAAACGGAAGTAGAAGGAGAGAAATCCAATAACGTTGAACATTCTGAACCGATGGAAAAAGGAATGAGTGGACAAGCGGATCAAACGGAAGAAAAGGTACCGGAAGTAGACGAGGCTAAAGATGCTAATCGAACGGAAGTAGAAGTAGCGGAAGTGAGTAGCGTTTCACAGTCTGAACCAATGGAAGAGGCAAAGAGTAGACAGGTTGTGCAAACGGCCGAAGTTGCACCAAAAGTAGACATGACTATAGACGCTGAAGAAACGGAAGTAGAGGTAGCGGAAGTGGATGGGAGTAAACAGGCCGCGCAAACTGAAATGAATAACCAAACTGAAAAAACAGGCGAGGTTGAAAACATAGACCAGAAAAAAACAGAAGGTAGTGAAGAAGTCAAGACTACAGAGGGAGAAAAACAGCGTGCTCAAACGGTGACGGGTAAATGTGATGAAGAAGTGGAGAGAGGTGCAGATGAAGAACAGAAAGGACCAGATGAGTGAGTGAACAAAATGAGAAAAAGAAGTGTTGACCGGAAGTGGAAAATACGTGACAAACGGAACAAATTGTAATAACTGTACATAGTGTAGAAATGAAAGCGTTAGGACATACCGTCCCAGTGGACGTGCCCAGGAACAGTGAAGCCCCGCGGAGGAGGAGGGGGGGGGGGTACTTCCTTATGAGAGGCTAATGGGGATGTGCCGCTGGATGGGGTCGCATTTTCACGACTGGATTGACTATAATGGGGTTGCATTTTCAAAAGAGTCACTAGAATGGGGTCACACATTTTCGGATTTTTGGGGTAAGAAAGATCTTCATATTTGCGGTTAGCAAACATACCAGAATATTTGTACTGTAGGTGAAAAGTAAAGTGTTCTTCATTCAATTTAAAAATGGGTGAATTCATTTTAGGATGACCTAAAGGGTTGATAAGGTAGATACATGAATAGAAAGTGACTAAGTTGGGATCGCGAAAATTACATACATGTATTTGCCCAAAAGTGACTAAAGTCTCTAATTAGCCACAGAGTAGACTATAATGGGGTTAGAGGCTCTAAGAGACCAGCGGCACATACCCAGCATAAATTAAACCAAGTACCTACCCCGGGAGTGAAGCCCATTGAAATTTTTGAGCGGGTAAGAAAATAGTTTATTGAAAGAGAGCAGAGAAAAAAAGGGTCAACCAGAATTTGACTAAACCTTTTAAGACAAAGACAGAGAACGCGTTACTGTTTCCATTATTGTCTTTAAAAGGGTTGTGCAAGAGATTATCTGTAAACAAAGCTACTTTATCTTGGAGTCTTTCATAGGATAGTGCCTTTTTAATATCATTTGGCGTCGCCGAGCAATCAGCGTTCTTTCGTCTTCTGTTCATAAGAGAAACGAGTAGATCCCCCAAAAAGAGATTTGCAAACATTTTCTCTGCCAAAATGAGACTTAAAAGTGAGGCTAGCAATGAAATTAGGCCTATATTATTCATTCTATTTAGTGGCTAAGACAATTGGTTTCACCAATACTTACCTAGTGGATAGTGATATATCCACCACACAGCGCTATCCATTTTTTGAACAACTGGGGCTAGATGGTTACGTGGCCTTTTGTTATTAACACTGTAAATGTTTTGTGTACAAGTTTGTCCCTAAGTATGTACGATTAAAATCGTTTATCACTAAGTTAAAGGGGCTGTGTCACAAAATTTAGCCAAAGTGGGAACTGCCCCTGGGTTAATTAGGGAGTTTAAGCAGCGACGACGGCGACGTCAACGAAAACGACAAAAAAGTAGTAGGTTTATATTGGCAAAACAACAACTTTGCACGTGCATCACGCTCCTTTGTACATTTTCTTCTTTCTTCTTTTTTGTACGCTACGACGTGAAAATGCCTAATTTCACGTTTTGTGGAGAACGTGAACCAAGACAACAACTTTATTTTTCTTTTCCTTGATACAGTCTTTTAGAATTCGACTCCAGAAAAAATTGCCAACCTCTGACGAACTGAACGAGATGCGATAAAGCGCGATAAAGTTTGAAGTAGCGCGAATTCACTTTTTAAGTGACGTTTTCGTAGCCGTCGCCGTCATTGTTGCTTAGCTCCCTATTCGCCTTCGTGGAATGCGTCCGGGGGGTGGGGGGGGGAGAGGGACGGGTTGGGGGGTTAAGCCGCATGAGAAAGGACGGAACGGAACTCTTG